ACTCTGATGACTTGTCGTCTTTTCTCTCCATAAATCTCTATATAAAAAAAAAAAAATATTAGTCTATAGACTAAAAAGATGCAAATTTATCTAATTGAAATTTACCACTGGATCCAAACAAGTTGCTGAGTGGAATATTAAAACAGAACAACAAATTAATTGCCAAAATTTATTTCCTGTCAAGATTCATCAAATTAACTCGCATAAGTTGATTTGCTATGCTATTCTGGATTTTCTTTTTCAGTTGTGTCTTGCTGATTGACTTTCAAAATAAACCAAATATTGAAACAAAAATATATAAAGAAAAATATAAAGAAATTCTTGGCACAACCACAAACAAATCTTCTAGGAATTCTTTGCAAAAGTCATGAAGATTCTAGCCATAGTACATTGGTTAGCACTAATTCAACTTCCAAAATGTCAGGTTTTGTTTTAAGCTTGATAGGTTTTGAAAATGCAATCCAAATTCATTTTGGTTTATGAAGAAAAAAAAGTTTTTTTATTACTCAGTATTAAAAATACATTTTAAACTTTAAGATATAATTATCAAAATAAAGACTAGAATTTAAAACCTTTTTGTAAAGTTTTTGATTTTTTTTTCTTGCAAATTATTCTGAAGCAAATTAATAATTGTTAATGTCACCTGCAGATGACTGGAGAATAAACCAATTGAAATGATTACAATGAAATGGCTGATATTTAATTATCCTGATAAGATTTCTTTGCATTTTTAATCTTTTCAAAACACCATCGAAGTCAATCACTTTCTTTGGCATTCAACATTGTTAAGTCCTATTTACAGTAATCTTAATAAAGATAAGTGAATGTCATCGTATCATTCAACATTTCATGTTATGATGATCTTATAATTGGTACCCCATATCAGATAAGCTATTCTGGAAATGGAATGAAAGCAGTGATGGCTCTCCGCAATTTCCTGTCTTTGTAGCTCTTAATAACTTTTGTCTTTTTGCTATCTCTCCAAAACCCTGATCTGCCATCTGTTCAGGTAATCTTGTTAGGTAGGCTGTGTTGTTTTCATCATTTTTAACCTTCAATCTGTCCTGTGAGTATCAAATTTTCCAAGCTGCTTTTCCTCATTATATGCCCCAGCTGTCTTTTCCTGATGTTAAGCATAAATTTCCTTTTTGTTTTCATTTTCTCTAGAACTTCATCATTGCTCACATATTTGGTCCATGATATTCTCAGCAGCCTTCTGTAGAACCACTTTTCTGTTTCTTCAAGTCTCTTCTTCATCTGTGAGGAGATCATCCAGCATTTTCTGCCATATAGGAGAACTGATACTATCACAATCTCACTGGATCAATTTAGTAGAGGAAATAAGGAAATTGAACATAGAATAGGCTGCATTAAAAGTAGTTTTTGCCAGCACTACAAAATGCTCCGAAAATAAACTATTAACCAAAGAAATTGAGTCGTTCTTAAATAGTCTCATCAGATAGAGAATCATCTGAATGTCATTCAAGGTGTCCAGGGAATTCTGATATGTGGAGACTATCAGTTACATACAACTACTTTCTCAGCTCAATGGTTAAAAATGCCTTCAAGTAAATGAACTCTGTAGGTTTTAGTGAGGACCATCCTTTTTTAATCTAATGGACTGGTGCTACACAAACAAAAATACTGCACCAAATAACAAACCACATTACTTGGACTTTCAACAGCAGCAACAGCTAAAATGGATGGCACATGTAACTCAAAAAGCTTGCACATTTATAAATCTATCAATTTGTTGATGCATTGAATATTGCTGTCATATCTGGCCTGGTGTTCCCATATATCCTGAAATTTGACAAAATCCAAAGAAAGGTCTTCTCTTCCCCTCTTAGTAGCATATGTTGGTTCCAATTCAAAAGAGAATGACTGTAAAACACTTGCCCCTCCAAAATTTGTAGGTACGAGCATACAAATGCATGCTAGGATTTGTTCCTAGCCAATAAAATAGGCCAGTTCTTAGTTTCATATGACTCAGTCCTGATCTGTCTTTTCTTTAAGTCAGAATTCTACTTTCATTTGTTCAAACTTTCTCTTGTATGTCAAACCCAATTTTTAGTTTGTAAAGTTTTTGCCATTTTACTGTTGCTTTGCATTATTTTTGACCTCCACTTTTTTTTCTCCTTTTCTTTGTTCTCGTTGTTTATTGCAAATTTTGTCAATTTTGTTTGTTGGGCACTTCTGTCATTTATTTATATTTAATCATGGCCATTTACTCTAGTGCATTATCACATTTTCTTGGAATTAAATGATTTAAAAAAAAAAAAAAAAAAAAATGACAAGATGTTGACATTTCACACTACTTCAAACAAAAGTTTAGGAAGGAAATCTCCCCCACCTGTCAATACTGGAAAGATCGATAACAGTAGACTTGAGAAATGTATTTTCCTGAAAATTGTTTTAATAGAAAGATTACATAAATTTCAACAATAAGTCACACTGGTTGTTGGTCAATGAATGTTAACTCTTTCCTGATAAGGAAAGAGTTAATGTTACCATTACCAGACTCTTTCTTTATATTAGGTATGGTGGAGTAGTAGTTAGCAGTTCAAATTGTGGAATCAGAAGGCTGAGTTCAAATTCCAGTCGAGTTCATTACATTGATTTATATGCTAATAGCCTTGGGAAAGGTATGAATCTATCTGATTCTCCAGCTATTGGTAAATAGCAGGACAGATTGGGTCCTATAGACTTGGTTGGCAGCCAGTCTAGGAGAAAGAAAATTGAATTTAAACCAGCCTGGAGATGGTTGGGCTCCATCAGGCTATCTTGTCCAAGACACACCACTTCTACTGTGGCTGCAGTCTTTCTTTATTAAAATTGGTAGAAATCACTTTTAAGGAATTGGTTTTGTGAAACTGATACAATTAAATACTTATAAAGAAAGTCATAAAGAAAGTCACAAAGAAAAAAAAAAAAAATCCATGAAATGTCTGTCAAAAATCAAAATGTTGAAAATTTGTTTCTTTATGGCATATGAATCCATTTTGATTTATTTAAAGCCGAAACATTTTGGAATATAAAAATATTTTTTTCCATTTTTTGTGAGTGAATGTTGCATTAACAAATTTTGAGAATAAAAATTATTTTTTTCAGATATAAGTCCTATCTAACCCATAATGGGAGGAGGAAATGGATTTAAACGTTTTCCAAAGATATTTGGATATAAATAAATATAAATGAACCAGACTAGAATTTGGATCTCCCATTTTCTTCTATGCCAATATCCATTACACTACCCATCCACCCCCAATTTGCCCCAATTACAATCTGAGGAAGTCATAAGAGGAAGAATTTTTATTTCAGGAATCAAAAATTTTAAGAATTCCTGAATAATATTCAAAGATCACCAAGTGTACAAAATGGTGCCATAACTCAATGACGATTACAGACAACACAAGATGCATAAATGTAATGAAAATAACAATACTTCAATTTGAAAAATTGACACACATTCTACAGGAATATTCTAAAGAAATATAGATTGTTGCTTTCCCAACGTCCCTATTTAAGCTGAAGTTGAAATAAGATGAGCCGTTATTACATTAATCTTTTCTCTGTCAACTTAAGCTGAAAGATTTCAGAGCAGAAATTGGCACATAAGTAATATTGGTCTGGCGGCGGCAAAGAAAATGGCCACAGTTTCTGAAGAGCAACAGAACAGCTAAAACAACAATAGCAATAACTATCGCATTCAAGAAATCTCAAAGATATTACAAATGGAATCACTTCAATTGGACAAGTATTTGTGACAGAAATTCAAAATCAAAGAAACACAAAAACAAATTTTGAAATAAAAAATAAACAAAAGCCTGTCAGAATTAATGTGGCTTCGATTGCTGCAACTAAAATGGTAACGCTTACAATTTCAAGCTGCTTTTTCTGCAAGTAGAAAACAAAAGAATAAAAAGATGAAATAATGTTGTTCCATTTGATAGAAGAGAAATTCTGAACAAGTTTCGAAAATGGAATCATTTGTTATTTTTATACTTTATTGAATGTTTCCTTGTCGAAGAATGAGGTGACATGATGGTTATTGGTAAGTAAAAAAATTAATAAAACCAATCTAAATTTTGGTCGAGGCATCATCTGTTTATTCCCATAAAACATAAGGAAGACATAAATTCACACCTTCCTGCACCAAGTTTCATTGCAAGGTAGCTTAAAGTTCAATACTTTAAACGTTTGTGCATTAGACAAAAAAACTCAGATGAAAAAGATTATTGTAGAACATTTCATCCATTAAAATTAAATAAGGACAACAAAGTTGTAAGGGAAAAAAAAAAAAACAATAATTGCACATGCATGCCTTCATCCCTGACAATCCCTTTCTTCGTGATTTTCAATGCATTTTTATAGTAAAATGCTTAGCAATGCATTTCCATTATACATATAATAGTCCTATTTTATCAGTAATGCTTGCATTCATTCCTGACCACTGACAATCCCTTTCTTCCTGATTTTCAATGCAGACTGAATGAAAGATATTTTAAGTTAAAATCTACTTTTACATGTTTATGTTAAGATGGTGAATTCCCATTAATTCATAACTCCTGATTGTTTGGCTTGAATAACCATGATTGTACAACATTTTTTTTAAGAGTAGACCATTACATATTTTTCTGTGAGGCGGGGGAGGGGGGGGGAATATACCCTCCAGGCATAACTGATGCATTTTGCAATAGGTTTTCTTGCAAAAGAAAGCAAATTATCAATTTTTCTTTTATTATATTTGCAATATCTGTTGATTTTCATTTATTTTTATATGTCCTACCTGTGATATTACTCTTTTCTACCAAAATGTCAGAGTGAATTTTTCAACTTTCAATTTCAAGGTCTGAATTGACGGACATAATTTATTTGGGCTGGCAAGTGTAATCGGTACACAAGCATTGATTTGATATTGGCTTAAAATGTAAATCAATTCAAAGATAATGATATCTATTAAAATAAAAAAAAAGAAGATTACACCTAAATCATAGGATTTAAACATTGTTTAAAAGTGAGAGAGAGAGAGAGAGAAAGAGGGCACGGGAGAGAGAGAGAAAGAAAGAAGGAAAGAGGGCACGAGAGAGAGAGAGAGAAAGAGGGCACACGAGAGAGAGAGAGAAAGAGGGCACACGAGAGAGAGAGAGAAAGAGGGCACACGAGAGAGAGAGAGAAAGAGGGCACACGAGAGAGAGAGAAAGAGGGCAATAGGGAGAGAGAGAGAGAAGAGAGAGAGAGAGAGAAAGAAAGAGAGAAAGAGAAAGAGAGAAAGAGAGCAAGAGAAAGAGAGCACGAGAGAAAGAGAGCACGAGAGAAAGAGAGCACGAGAGAAAGAGAGCACGAGCACGAGAGAAAGAGCACGAGAGCACTAGAGAAAGAGCACGAGAGAGAGAGCACGAGAGAAAGAGCACGAGAGAAAGAGCACGAGAGAAAGAGCACGAGAGAAAGAGCACGAGAGCACTAGAGAAAGAGCACGAGAGAGAGAGCACGAGAGAAAGAGCACGAGAGAAAAGCACGAGAAAAGTACACGAGAAAAAGCACGAGAAAAAAGAACACGAGAAAGAAAACAGAGAAAGAAACACGAGAGAAAGAGCACGAGAGAAAGAGAGAGAGAGAGACTGGTCAAATTGCTTTCCGTGAAAATATGAGCGTTTTGAAAAATCTTTAGCCCAACCAACATCTCAAAATCTGACCAAATGACCAACCGAACATTATTGTAGATACTAAAAATACATGAGCCACCAAAATTTGTTGTTCTCTATTTTTAACACTTTTGAAGCAGGTTAGCCATATTTGGTGATTATTAACAACATTGATTGGTTGATCAAACCTTTGACCCTTGAAGAAAAAAAACAAAAACATAAAGAAACAAAGTTCCCCTCAAAACAAAAGAAAAACAACAAATGTTTGCCAAATGATTCATGTCCACACAAGATGGGAGCAAAATTTTAGACAACTCTCTAAACAGGTTTTGGTTATTAAAAGCCGATATTCAATAATTGGTAGCGGGATATCTTAGCAGTACAGCATGGCAGTACAAGTCAGGCAATCTTTGTTTGAATTCTTTGATAACAACGAATTTGTGATCATATAATTATCCTAAAATTCTTTGCAATACTGCAAGACTTTAAGAGTGGTCAATGTTTTTTGCCAGTAGCTATAACCTGCTTTCCACGCCAGAAATCTTACAGCCATTCAGCTAACAACAACGGGTTTCTATTCCCTTGGGGCATCAACCATTGATTGTTATAAGAATTTGCATATGTTGTGGTGATGTCCATGTTTTTTGGTCTCAGAAAGCTGCATGATTGTTTTTGTCAAATGACAAACCAGTATGCATGCAACATGGAGCCACTTTTCTGGCTAGGTGAGCTCACAAGACAATATGTATGGTTGCCAACAGGAGAAAAAGGCCAAGTAGTACAGAAGTTTAAATATTTGGGAAGCGTTTTAACAGAGGATAGAAAAAAGATGCCTTCCAAAAACTAAAAGTATTAAGAAACAAGAAAAGTATGTTGAACTGCTATTTAATATTAATCCTCCTATATTTCCTAAAATATGAAAAGAAGATTAGAGGCAAGAGACATTTCATTCTGCAGAAGGATGCTGAGAATGACATGAATGGAGTGTGCAAGCAACCTAGCCAAATAAACAATTCTACTTATAATCAGAAAGAAAAATCTGAAATTTCTAGGACACATAATGAAGAAAGTGGGCTTGAAAAATTTGACACTCAAAGGGACATTTGAAGGCAAAAGGGTTAGAGAGAGAGAGAGAGAGACAATAGGACACTTACCTGATGAGCTTATGGAATGGATAACAGAATGGGGAATAGGAAGGGTGGTAAAAAGAAATCTTATTAAGCGTCAATCTTTTCCTGAAGAGATACAAAGATGAATGCATCAATGTCTATGTGGGTCACAGACATTATACAAGTTGTAGGACCAAAGGAGATAAAGCATTGTTTCTATTGATATTTATATCAGTTATAATCAAAGTGGCTTTAAAACTTTGGAAGCAATTCTAAAATATGAATTTTCATCAACATCTATATGGGTCACTTAAGATTAGGGAGAACACTGGATAAAAGATGAATTCATCTGCTCAAAATCAAGATACAAACAGGAGAGAGTGAGAAAACTTTTATGAAAATGTATCCAACATTTTTCTCAACATTAAACCCTGTGTTAGTCACATGGGGTGTGTTTTGTTAGCTACAATTTTTTAAAATAATCATAATTTTGTAGCTAGCAACTTGTCTCTTTTTCCCTCCTATTACTCTCCTAACTTAGTGAAGAGTGTATAGCACACAGTTTGGTACAATTGTTATGGGAGGTAGACATTGCTTTGCCTTCTTCAGGGCGTCTTTATCAACCCCCCTGACTAATGAAAGTAAGCTTTTATAATTCTTTCAGTTGTGCAATTATGAGTTTGGAGGCATAGTGGAGTAATGGATAGCAGCTTGGATTGAGGAATCGGAGAGCCGAGTTTGAATTCCAGTCGAATTCGTTACATGCACTTATGTGCTAATATCCTTGGGAAAGGTATAAATCCTCTTCTTTTATCCCCCAGTTATTTATGAGTAAATAGCAGGACAGACCAGGTTCTATAGCCTTGGATGGCAACTGGTCTACCACAGAGAGAAATGGCAACTACTGTGGGAAAAATCTGCCTCGTCAGTCATGTATTGAAAGATACATGATTGCCTAAGCGTGTATCACGCATGGCACATAACTGACTGAATTATGAGTTTATCTAATACCTTTTCTATTCATGCAAATGTATTGTGGTTATTTTTGCTGAATAAAACTTTTCTCGATTATTGTATTTGGTGTGGTTCACCTTGAATATACAAGATATGTTTATACAACAAATTTATTACAATTTTCATTTCAATGAATAATTTTATCTTCAGTTCAAATTTTGACTTAACGTCTATTCTAACAGCGATTATCCGTTTTTTTTTTTCACCAGTACAACAATTGTTTACATAGTTGTAACACTATAAGCATTTTTCTACTGGAATGGTGGGTGGGTGTCTAAACACCACAGGGGACTAGACACTTCTAGAAATCTGAAATGACTAATGCAGGGCCATAGTAGTGTTTTTGGAGTGCATTCAAGTTTTATTTCTTATGCAATTGGTGACATGCTGTTCACAGGCCCTCAGAAGATTTCAGAAGATACAAAAATTGCGTTCCACATGTTTAGCCTTTAAAGATTTACCTTTCTTTTCTCTTGTTTATCATCCTTTTGCAGGTTATTTAAAGCCAGAAAATATTCTTAGATGGTAACAATGTTTTAGAGAAAATGATTTACTGATACAAGTCCTACTAATTAACCCATAGCTGGAGGGGAAAGAGTTGAATTCATGTCTTTTCCAAGGATAGTCGCAACGTAAGTGAATATAACAAACCCAACTAAAATTAAAACTCTGCTCCTCTAATGAGACATTCAAAAGAAAAAAATATAGTTTTTCTGAGCAAAGAAATCCCCTGGAGATTTTCTGAGCAAAGAAATCCCCTGGAGATTTTCTGAGCAAAGAAATCCCCTGGAGATTTTCTGAGCAAAGAAATCCCCTGGAGATTTTCTGAGCAAAGAAATCCCCTGGAGATTTTCTGAGCAAAGAAATCCCCTGGAGATTTTCTGAGCAAAGAAATCCCCTGGAGATTTTCTGAGCAAAGAAATCCCCTGGAGATTTTCCCCACATGGGACCACCTGCCCCAATGTTAGAAATACGATGCAGAAAGTGGTTATGGAATTAGAATTGAAAGTTCCATATTCCCAAACAATCACTAGTTTCAATCCATGCAATGCATTTTGTTTGATCAGAAGTTCCAGAAACTGAAAGATTCCTCAAAGAAATCAAATCTAAAACTGTCCAGGAAACTGAGGTGGGAAAGAATGGTTTTACACCTGTTCTTGAACCTGAACCATGTACACCAATAGGAAATGCACAACTACCTCACCTACAGAGCAGGCTTTCCCCATGTAGAATATCTAAATAATGTAAAGTGGGGGAGGGGCATTTTACATGTTTGCTCCCAACTGTCGTTTTTTAGTTAAAAAGCATGAGTTGCAGATTCATTTCAATTCTCACTGGTCATGGACATAATGAAAATCAAGAAATTATGAATTAAAAGATAATTAGATAAATGCCAACCCCTGGAGTGGATTCAGATGGTCAGAAGAAACGTACAAGAAGCATGGATCTTAGGGTAAAAAAAAGAAAAATCTTTATAAGGTTTACAACGAATAGGATTCTTTCCTTTTGACGTCACAGTCAGAATATGATAAAGGAGACCCGGGAAATTGTACAAAAAGTGGGTTTGAAGTTGACAGAATGGATCATTAAGTTAATTAATATCATCTGAGAATTTTTATGGACAATCAGGTAAATGACCTTTGACCTTTCCAACCTCATCAGAAAATCAAATTTACCAGCAATATTCGGTTGATATCATTTTTGTCATGAGATGAGAAAAAATAAATTTCAGACTGAAGAAGTCAGACCAATCATATTGAGGAGATGCTTATGAACAAAACTTTCTGATGTCAGGAAGAGCATCCTGTAGTAAAAGAGATGATCACAGGAATATGTATATATGTTATGTATACTTGTCTGTCTAAAAATTCCGATATTAAAAAAATATATCTATAAAGACAATATATATAAAATAAAAACTCTCATGCCGATGTAATTCATACATTGACAAACTTCAAAGTAAGTGTAGAAATTGTATTTTGTAATCTGTATTTATACACAGAAGTAACACACATTTTATATATATATATATGAAGAAATATAGTCTTAAGACATGCTATATTTATGGGATAATGTGCTCAATATCAGAGATAGAGCGTGTGTAAATATAAAAATGAACATAGAAGTCAACACTTAGAGGCAACAGTCTGTTTAATGCTAGATGCAATCATCAGGCCATGAGTGCTGTTATTTTTCTTGGCTATATATATATATATATATATATATATGGGTCAGTGGTGCATTGTGGGTAGTCTATTTTGGCAGTTATTTTACTGGAAGTCGTTTATTTGTTTATTTATTTGGATTAAATTATTTTGCTTGTTTTCATTTATTTTTATTTCTTATCTTATATATTTTATTTATTTTTTTTTTTTTTTTTTTTTTAATCGGTGTTTTTATTAACGTAGTAAAAATTTGTTTATATTGCTTATTTAATAGTTTTGTTTTGGTTTTGGAAGATAAAGCTATTTATTCAATTTTGGGGTTGATTATTGTAGTTTATTCTAACTATTATTTAAATCCCTGTTTAGTCCCTCTATGTAGGAATTTAAACTTAGGATATACTTCAACGCCAATCTGCATCTATCCTGCCAGCTACCAAACCAAGATGCTAAAAGCACACATTCGATGTTGTCGATGCTATGACCAGGTTGGTTGAAGTGTACAGAGACTGGGAAATTGTTTTTATTGTCCCTGATGTTTTTCTTGTGGTTATTGAACCGTAAACAGAACTCTGTTCTGGTTTCTCCCACATAATTCCCCTTCTCGTTTTTGTGACAGAAAAGTAAATGTACATGATTGGAACTGTCGCAGCTTAGAGTCTGCGGTTTGAATACCATGTGAGTACCCAGGATAAATGTTGTGAGTGATGATGTGTTTGCAGACCAGGCACTGGAGTTTGTTGCAGATGACATTCCCTTGGTGAGGTGATGTGTTGGAGATTTTTGATGATGTTAAAAGTCTGAAGAGGTTGGGAGCAAAAGGTTATCACTAAATAATTTATTAATAGTATTGTTTAGTTTTAAATGCTGGAAATTTTTAGGTGTGGGAAAGTTTGTGGATGTTATTAAAATAAAAGACCCTGGGGATTCTGGAATTATGCTTTTTAGTTACATAGTTGAGGAGAGTGTTTGTTATGTTTGGAAACTTTGGTGATA